TGTTCTGTAAGAAATTATAAAGGAGATGGTTTTAAAGAAACCTGGAAAATCTGTATGATCCAATGCAGAGTGAAGTGAGCAGAACCAGAACAATTTATGTAATGACAACAATATTATAAAGACAAACTACTCTGAAACACTTATGTACTCTTCAGCATAATAGCCAACCACAATTCCAGAGAACTCATGATGAAACATGCTTTTCATCTCCTGATAAGAAAGGCAAAGAACTCCATGCAGATTGAGATATATTTCTTTTGGATATGGCCAATGTGGGAATTTGTTTTGCTTGACTATACATGTTTCTAATAAGATTCTTTTCTTTCTTTCTTTCTTTCTTTCTTTCTTTCTTTCTTTCTTTCTTTCTTTCTTTCTTTCTTTCTTTCTTTCTTTCTTTCTTTCTTTCTTCCTTCCTTCCTTTCTTTCTCTTTCTTTCTCTCTGTCTTTCTTTTTCTTCCTCCCTTCCTCTTTTCCTCCCTCCTTTTCTTTCTTTCTCAATTGGAAAGGCAGGAAAGGTAGAAAGGAGAAAAGGCAGATTTTCACAGATTAAAAATTTTAATTAAAAAAATAAAAAGAAGAAAAATTATCCTTCTACTGTCCCCATCCCTAAGTAATCCCTAAGTATTTACCAGCAGACCCAGGCATGCTGAAAAGATTAGGAAAAGGATTGTTGCACAGCAGGAGTAGCAGTCACCAAGTTATTTTTCCTATATCAAGATAAAGCACCTACCCCTGTTGGTGATCCATTTCAATCTTTGTTCCAGTGATGTATTTGCCTTTGTCATCCATGCTTTTTTTCCCCCCAAAGTCCTTTGGAGACCAGGCATTTCATATTGCAAATTAACCAAAGAAATAAACCCAGCCATGAAACTAATGCATGAAGTATAAAGGTGTAGTTTCCAAATGAGGAATATTGAGAAAAGAGAGATTTAGAACATTTAGGCTTTTACCTGTAGGTGAATTTCATTGGCTTTATGTTACTCTTTAATTCTTTAATCCTGTTTTTAATGATGAAATGTCATTACTACTTTTTATTGCTGGACCCAACCTGCTATTCATTTAATAAGAAAAGGTATTTACTGGTAACAGACCAAAATCAACTATGCAAGTATCTTAAAAATATATCAAGAGGCTATCTTGGGTCTAAAATTTTGCAAGTGTTTTGTTGGCTGAAATTTCTACAAAACAAACAAACTTTAAGGTCTACCGTCAAGGTCAAGGAAGAACTTTCTAAGACACTAAAGAACAATTGTGCAAGATTACTTAGCTACAGAGAGAAGCTCTCACATTGCCAGCTTTTCATCCTTCTTTGAATGTTGGGTGATCTGACATCTCCTTCAGGGAGCTAAGGTGACTCTCAGGATTGAAACCATGGGCAATGTTATGATTCATGCCAAATCGAAGTGGCATGGACAATGCAAAACAACAGCAATAACAACTACCTCCACCACAATAACTGTGCAATCAGATGACCAACTGCTTGGAAAGTCAGCCAGAAAACCAAACATAAACTCTATTCTTCTGTGAGTCCCTCAGGTACAAAGGTAGTGAAAGAAGCTTTCCCAGTAAAACATTTGTTGATAATCAAGAGGGAAAATTCTCCATTGGTGTTCTGTACTGTGTGTTTTTGTAGACATAAGCATTAGCCTTTAAGACAAGCTCCCATTTATCCACTCCAAACACAAGGTGAAATCAAAATGATCTGAGAGGTCCTTAAACTTAGATTCTAAAAGATTTGAGTTCACACCCTGATTCTGATACCCACTAACTGTGTGATCCTGGGCAAAACACAACTTCTCTGAGTCTCAGTTTCTTTATCTGTAAAATGAAGGGGTTGGATTAGATGGCTTAAGGTCCTTTCTAGCTGTAAATCTGTGGTCCTATGGCTCCATGGATCTATGAGGGGTACCCAGTCCTATGGATGATGCCATTCATTTCATGGTCTGTAATACAACACCTGCAAGTACAAGTAATCCTATACTTGGTGTTATCATAAAGGCATATTCCCCTGAGAAGAAAGCCTCCTTTCTATATGGCTGTCGTGGTCTTAAATTGTACAAGATTCCACAGAATTCACTTGAGTAAGCTGGAGTGGAAATAATCCATGGTTTTGGTTAAGTCACTTACCTCTGTAGGCTTCAAAAGGTCCCTTCCAGCTGTTAAAATCCTATGGTCCTCATGTTGAGTGACTGAGTATGAGATAAGAAAATATGGCACAGAAAAGAGAGACTGAATCTATCTTTTTAACTATCATGGGCAATTGATATCTTTAAAATTAGCCTACTATATTCTATTTGCATTATTCATATGTGAGAAAGGTATATTTAAAGCAGATATAATATTCCTTTATTCCCCTTCCCCAAAGGATCCTCCCCCCAAAATGGCATCCATTTTCATTCTTGGATAAGTCATCTGCCTAGACCTTCTCAGTGCTGTTGGAGATCAAGTGAGAGAAAGTATGTTTTTAAGTATAAGAAATAAAATTTCACATTGAACTAGTAGTGGTAAGCATATTACTGTCGAGCCAGGGTTCTATTTCCACGATGTTGACCCTATTTAGCTCAGAAGCATCTCCAAGGCTATCCAGAGCATCTTAAGACCCAAGCCCCCATGGGCCTAGTATGTACTGGAGGAGGTCATCCTCTGCTCCTTAGTCTGGGCTACTTCAAAGCCGGATAGTATGCAGTGTTTGGTAGCAGCAGGGATACTGTACAACCTATCGGCTAAACCCAAATTATATAGAATAGAGGACAGGATCGGGTTTATGTGGTAAAATTTAACATCACAATCGAGCAAAATTTTTTTGAATAAGATGAAATTTAATAGGTATAAATATATGGATTCAAAACCTGAATCTGACAAATATAGAATGGGGCAGATGTGGCTGAACAACAGGTCATATGAAATAGACTTGAAGGCTTTAGAGGCCTGAAAACTCAATATGAGCTCACCATATGATATAACAGCTAAAAAGCCAGTTTTAGCCTCACATGCATCAAGGGAGGCCTGATCAGCATTGAGGAGGCATTCCACACTAGCCGCAGCTCATCTACTGGACTTTATTTAGCTCTTTAACTAAATATTTTTTGAAGAGTCAGTGATCTGCATTCTGAGCCCAAAAGGTCAAAGACTGAAGGAAAAAGGGCTCATTTATGTTTTCTAACATAAATTTAGGGAGCTCTATCTCTTGCTGTTCTGGGACTCCTTGTAGGTCAGGGACTGGTTGGGTAGTACTTAAGTCCAAGGGGTTAATACCTGACACAAAGAGAATGAGATTATGGAGCCTTCAAGGAATGCAATAAGGGTAACATAGTTGTCTCTGAACAAAGCCCCTTTTCTTCACTATGCTGAATACCATGGCTAAGCAAGGTTGTGAAAAAGTCAGCAAGTATTTAATGAAACTGTTCAGTGTCTCAAATTAGAGTAGAAAGACAGTGGTTATAGAGATGAAATCTTGGCAATTTAAAGTCTATTACATGGCCTATCCTTAGTCCTCTTCCTTCCCTCCCTAGTCCTCCCCCCACCCTTCCAATCTCCCGGAAATTCCAGCCATTGAGACTTTTGATATAGCAATGGGCATTGTGCAAATATTCTTTGACGTCTATGTATAATAATAACTCTAAGCCCTGTATGGTAGAAACTTCTTAAACTTTTGGATTACCTAATTGTCACATTTGGGTGAGTTTTCCTGTCTCTGTGATATTGTTTCTGTTGGGTGCTGTATTGGACTGCATCATGGAAACTTCAGTTATGCTGGTGAGAACCTACTCTCTGTCTGAATAGCAGCTAAATGAGATTTGTTCCTTTAACCACGAGGCTCTTAAAACAACAGGCTGGAATTATGCAAATGTTTAACTATGTACTTATTATGCCCAGTTCAGCTTGTCATCACTTGTACCAGATCAGTTGAAATTCATTTATAAATGAAGTTTCCTTGTTGCATTGATTGAATTAAAGTGAGCAAACCCAACCAGAAATTCCAGTCACTTTGGAAATACAAGTCTAGATTTGAAACTTCTTGGGAGTATTGAGGTGGGGGTTGGGAAGAAGGGAAATGGAGAAAGGAAGTAAGAGAATGAGACAAATTCTATCTCAGAGTATAAAATTAATTGAAAAAATAAGGGCATCCAATGATTTTTTTTTTAAAAGTCCCTTTCAAGCCAGAATACTCAGTTGTGGAGGGAAAATATTTGAGCTCCTTTGAGACAATACCTTATTTCAGAGAGATTCATCTCCCTATGCCTGACATGCTTATGGCTTAGCAGAAAGGGAGGGTGTGGTAACCTCACAGTTATCCTCTGCTAATATTCCCTGTGAAAGAAACATTCACTGAAGATGATGGGAATTTAAGCATCGATGGCAGGTTACATCCCTGGGCCTGGCTTGGCCTACTGAGAGAAGTTATAATTAGGGAGATAAAAGATATTTTGAATTAGTCTGGAAGCCTTTTGGGTCAAGTGGAATGATTCCATTTGCTTTTTCTCCTTGGGAGGTCCTCTGGGATCCTTGGAAGAAAGCCAAGGTCCTTCTCTTGCTTTCTTCACCCCAGACTCTTGAACATTTCTGGGTCACAGCAATGTTTCCATCTGGCTGAAGTGAGTGGTCCACTCCTTACTCCAGAGTTTATCAGAATTTTTTTCCCCTGAAATTGGCCATTGAAATCTGTTTAGAACACGATGCTCTGTCTTCTACCAACCACAGTCCAAAAGGTGAGAATACTGGTACTGCTGGTCTGCCAGCCAATGTGGGAAGGATAGTTCCATACTCACACACTCTCAGTGACAGATGATGTACTTGCCTCACCATTTTCCATCGAAATTCCTCTCAAGACCTGATTGCTTTGTGGGGCGGGGGGCTCTTTGAGAAGACCATCTGTATTTGTTCCTTCATGTTCCTCTCACTTATTAGAGACAAATAAGTAAGAAAGTTGCAGATGAAATTGGAGTAATTTTCCTGAGATGTTTTCTTTGTCCTTTGTGTTTTATTGTTTTAAAAATCAGATTTGCCAAACCAGTGTACACCATATCCCTGTGAGAGAAAAGGAACAGTAAATTGTCAAGATCTGATGGGGACTTTCTACTGCCAATGTAAAGCTGGCTGGAGTGGAAAAATTTGTGATCAAGGTAAAAAGAAATGCCTTCTGACTGTTGATATCTTTCTTGCTTACTACATGCCTCACTGAATGGCTTAAGAACTAAGACATAGATACTTAGGACAGCCTGTAGTGTGGTTGAACAGAAGCAATATTCTCTATATTTGAAGTTGAGCTTATTTTGATTCTAGTCTTGGCCCTTCTGGTTTCTTGCTGTGTGACTTTGGGCAAGTCACTTCACCTCTGCTTTAGTTTCCTCACCAGCAAAAATGGGGATAATAATACTTTGGTACCTACCTCCCAAGGGTTGTTGTGAAGAAAGCCCTTTGTAAATCACAAATCACTATTTAAAAGGAAGGTTATATGTACAAGTCTGTTTGAATTTAGAGGGTAGGGAACAAAATCTTCTCTTCTGTTAATCCCTTATTTCCTTCTCTCTTCTCTCTCACTTCCCTTCTGCCAATTTCTGTAGAGTCCTTGTCTTGCCCCAGGCACAGGATCCTAACTCTGGCCTGAGGCAAAGCAGGGGAGAAATGGAATTCCTTCTTTGTACTTCCAGGAGAATTGGGAGCTGTCTTCAGCCAAGGGGATAGGACCACAGAATATGAGAAGGGAGGAGAGATTATTTTTAAACCTGGCACCCAGTTGGGTTCCAAGAAGAAAGTGAGCATTGTATGTGTTAATATTGCTAGCCATGTCAATCCTATGTTCTTCCAATTCAAACATCTGTGACATTGCCAACACTGGGCAGACTTTACCCAGAAGGAAGAATAGGAAACCCAAATGTGGGGTGACAGGATATATACCCAGAGGGGCTTTTCTAATGCAAAGGGAAATTATCCTTGAGAGGTAATGCTTCAGATATAGTTTGACCAGATTTTAACAAAACATTTAACACAGTCTCATGCTATTCTTATGGAAAAGACAGAGTGAGATGGGCTAATAGATTAATGAGATTTATTCAGAACTAGTTAAATGGCTGGGGTCAAAGAACAGTGATTGATAACTGTTTAATGGCTACTTCCAAAGGAGGCTCCCATTGGGTGTCCCAAGGATCTGGGTTTGATTCTGTGCTGTTTAATATTTTATCCATAACTTAGATAAAGGCATAGATGACAAATGTTCAGGTGACCCAAAGTGAAGTATAGCATCAGGTTCCAAAAAATAACTGACAGGCTAGAACCAATGTTTTCAATTGAATGAAATCAGTGTTAATAGACTTCACTATCACAAGATGAAGGAAAGTGACTAGACAGCAGTTTCTCTGAAAGAAATCTAGGGGATTGGGGGAATTATAAGATCAATATGATTCAACTGTGTGATATGACAGCCCCCCCCCCCAAAAAAAAGCTATAACTTGATATTGGGCTTTGAGGAATAAGGAAGAGAGAATACTATTGTATTCTATTCCAATCAAACCCTACCTGTAGTATTGTCATCATTCCTGGACACTATGTCTTTGGAAGGATATTGTTCAATTGAAGAGTTTCTAGAAGAAGGCACAAGGATGTGGAAGCCTACCATTAATTAGCTAGATGAGTCATGTTGGGCACTTCTCTGTGCCTTCATTCCTCATCTGTCAAATGAAGGGGTCAGCCTGGCTATATGATGCTGGGTAGGTCACTTAATCTGTCTGTGCCTTAATTTCCTCATCTGCAAAATGGAGAGATTGGATTCAGTGGTCTCTAAAGCCCTTTTCAGCTCTCAACCTATGATCTTCTGAACCTGGGTCTACAAGAGTGTTTTATATGAGCAACATAATTTGGAGGGGAGAGAAATTGGAGCAGGAATTCAGAGATCTGGCTTGTTCAGTAACTGATTCTGACCTTGGACAAATGGCTTAATTTCTGTACACTGGGTTCTACATCTATAAAATGAGCAGGTTGGATTAGATTGACCTCTAAAGGCCCCTTCTGTCTCAAGATCTATGATCTTGTGAGTCTAGTTTCTACCGGTTTTCTGCTTCTTATAAACTTTCTGACTTTTAAAAATCTATGTTAAAGGCCTAAAAAGAAGATTCCAGTGAAATCCCAAGATAATAATTTTGTTGCCTTTGAAATTTGCATCAACACCCAAGAATTACTCATCAGTTTGAGGGTCTGGGGTCAGATGTGACATAAGACATACACTAGTACAAAGTCTTTTTATGGTATTATGCTATCCAGTCATCCCAAGTTACCTTTGTCTTTACTTTTAGATATCAATGAATGTAGCCACCAGAATGGGGGCTGCAATCAAATCTGTTACAACCAGGTTGGTGGCTTCTCCTGTGCGTGTTACAGTGGCTACAAACTCCTCCCCAACAATAAGACCTGTGAAGGTAAGGGAAGGTCTACTTGGACTGAAGTTCAAAGTTGTGAGTCAACTGGGGCCACTTGGTAATTGTGAATCAAGATACTTTGACTTCTTCTCTAGGTCTTTCTCTAATTCCTGTGCTCCTCACCCCCTTTTTTCTCTGCAGTTATGCCTTTCTAATTGCCAGCTGCATGAAATAGTGTTTGCTCTTCCTAAAAGAAGCTGCTGGAGAACTATGGGACCTTTTCTGATTGTGGAGTGAGAGGGAGAGGGGGACGGGAGCCAGGAGAAAGTCAGTACATGCCTAGGCATGCCAGTGGTCCCTGGGCTCTACTCTCCAACACCATAACATTAAAATGACTCACCAGAGAATTTGTGGGTTGGAACTGGCCTAGATTGGTCCAGCTGATCAGCCCTCACATCCTGAGTTGGGAAGAGGGGAGAGGCTTGGCAGGGCCAATTGTTATGACTCTTTCCAGTCTCGATGAGCTTATTATACACAAGTTTGCTGTTTTGGCAATACCTTCTATGCTGGGGATGAAACTCACAGCTGGGACGTTTCAAGAGGAACCAAGCCAATATCATGGGGGTCACTTGGCTTAATGCAGCCTGCTGATAAAAATAAAAAACCCCATGTGTCTCTCATTTATCCACTGAGCCCATATCGATGGATTGTTCCACCTAACTATCCCTACTAGAAGATTGTACCTTTCATGGTCTCCTCTTCCCTTCTCAAATACTCTAATTCAAGACAGGCAGCTGATGAGCCCAGCTGGCCTCTGTATCCTTGCTTCTTCTTTAGAATGTGCCCTTTACGTCTATGTAGGTACAAAGGGGTGCAAGGGAGCCACTCCACATAGGATCTGGCTATAATCTGCTTGCACAAGGTACTATATAGGCTTTTGGCATTGCACCCAAGTCTTCCAATAAGGGTAATTTTCTCCCCCTCCCTAAAGTCAGGAAGACCTGGATTCAAATCTGGCCTCAAACATTTACTATCTGTGTGACTGTGGGCAATTTTTAACCGCTAGTTGCCTCAGTTTCCTCAACTGTAAAATGGAGATAATAACAGCATCTACCTCACAGGGTAATTGTGAGGATCAGATGAGATAATATTTGGTTTTAAAAAGCACTTAGAATAGTACCTGGCACAGAGTAGGTACTATATAAATGCTTATTCCCTTCCTTCTCTCCCTGCATCCTACATTTGTTGTGAGGATCCAAAAACAAAGTGTTTTACAAACCCTAGAGCATTGTAAATGACAGATTTAGCTTTTCCCTGTCATTATTGTTCACCTTGCATCATATCCAAGTCAAAGACAATGAAATTTAAACCCAACAGGTGAATTGTTTTGGAAAGACTGCTTCCATTCTTTTAGATAATCACTCTTGTAAGATCTCCAAAGATGGAAACCTCACATTTGCTATCAGGATCCTATTCTGACTACCTCTTGTTCTTGTAGTCAAGAAGGGTAGAGTGGATTGAACATAACAGAAAGTGAGTCAGGAGTCTGGAGTTCCCATGAACCTGGCTCTCCTATTACCCAGACATGCCAACTTCACTTCTCTGGGCCTCAGGATCCTCAGATGTAAAATGAGCAAGTTGGGCTAGACAGTTATAAGGCAGCTTTGAGCTCTAACATTCATCCCCTCCTCTTAGAGTCTTAGAGTCCCTTATTTCCTTTAAAAGTTAGCTTAAGCACCCCTTCTACCCTTCTCTGTATATTGTACATGTTTTCTCCCTGCAAAGGCTATAAACTCCTTGAGCCCCAAATCTATTTCAATTGTCTTTGTATCTCTGCACAGAGTAGTCATTTAATTGTTGAATGAAGTATTAAGGAATCTGGAGGGTTCAGTTGAAAAAAAATCTACTTCCATTAATAATTTAAGCATTTTTTTTTAAATCAGCCCCTAATTTAATTCCATAAACATTTATCAGGCACCCACAATGTGGAAGTCCTTATGCTTAGACACTGAGACAGCACCCACAAAATTGAAATATTATTTCTCCTCTCAAGGAGTTTACATTCAAGTAGAAGTTATAACAGATTCAGAAATAAGTAAATAAAAGGTAATTTGAGGAGCAAGAGACCACTAACTCACAAGTGTTTGGCATCAGAAAAGACTTATATAGATTTGGAAGGTAACAAATTAGCACCCGGAATGGGACAGCTCCTCCTGAAGGCTATAATCAAACCACCGATTAAGTTTCTTTTTAAGAAGCTAAAGACTCTCATTTCCTTTTGCTTTCCTTAGCGAACTTACTTTCTACTGCTTTGATTCAGTGTCTCTCTTTTCTAAACCCTCTCCAGTTTCTCTACCTCCCTTTTGAAGTATGGTGATCAATAAAACTTTCCTCTAATAAGGACCTTCAGTAATCAGAATACAATAGAAGGCTTACTTTCCAGTCCTTGAGTCTTATGCTCAAGTTTTTAATTTAGCCTGGAATCACAGGCTGTCTTTTTTTTGGGATAGCTTGACATTGCAGACTCATTCAGATGTAGGTACTGATGGACAGGCCACTGCCCATGGAAATCTCCCTTCAAGATATTCTAATTAGCCTAATACCTAGTCTAGAGAATCCTTCTTAGATGCTCTGGGTATGCTCTCACACACTCACAACTTTATCTTTTTTTTTATACCATTTGTATTTTTACTTTGGAACTCCAAATCTATGGACAAATGAGTCTCCAGAACTTGGGGTTCAAATGTTCTTTTTTTTAGCATATAAGGAAAAATCAAAACTTTTCCCACATACAGTCATTGCCAGCGTGATTCAGAAATACTCGGGCAATTGTATGCAAAGTCAGTCAATCAATAAGCATTTATTAAGCACCTACCATGTGCAAAGTGCTAAGTTCGAGGGATACAAAGAAAAGCAAAAGACAATCTCTGCTTTCAAGGAGTTCACAGCCTACTGAGGGAGACAACTTGCAAATAGCTTTATAATAACAGGCTATATGCAAGATAAATTGGAAATAATCAACAGACAGAAGCCATGAAAAGAAAGGGGGATCAGGAGAGGCTTCCAGTAGAAGTTGGGATTTTAGCTGGGACTTGAAGGAAGTCAGGAGGCAGAGATGAGGAGGGAGAGAATTCCAGGCTTCAGGGACAGCTAGAGAAAATGCCCAGGAGTGTCTTGTTCAAGGAACAGCAAGAAGACCAGTGCCACCAGATCATAGAGTATGTGGCAGGGTGGGGTGGGGTGGGGTGTACAAGGTATAAGAAGACTGAAAAGGTGAAGAGAGGCAGGTTATGAAGGGCTCTGAACACCAAACAGAGGATTTTGTGTTTGATACTGTAGGTGACAGAGTCAGTGGAGCTTACTGAATAGGGAAGTGACATGGTCAGACCTGAACTTTAGGAAGACCATTTTGACAACCACATGAAAGATGAACTGGAGTGAAGAGAAGTTTGTGACAAGCAGACCCACCAGCAGGCTATTGCAATAGTCCAGGCATGAGATGATAAAGACCTACACCAGGGGGGTGGCAGTGTCAGAAGAGAGAAGGGGGCATATGGGAGAGATGTTATGAAGATAAAATCCACAGGCCTTGGCAACAGATTGGATATAGGGGATAAGAGAGAGGGAGGAGGCTAGGATGACACCTAAGTTGAGACTCTAGGTGACTGGGAAGATGGGATGGAATTTAGGAAGAGGGGAGGATTGGAGTGAGGGGAGGTGGAACTAAACCAATTACTTAGATTCCACAGAGCCTCCAAAGAGGTGAGTAGGTCAGGCATGATTAAGACTATCGGGAGCAGCTAGTTGGCTCAGTGGATGAGCACCATCCTTGGAGTCAGAAGGACATGAGTTCAAATCTGGCCTCAGACACTTACTAGCTGTGTGACCCTGGGCAAGTCACTTAACCCCAATTGCTTAAAAAAAAGGTCTCAGATTTGGAATCAGGAAGACCCAGGTTCAAATCCTGCTTTACATATTAGCTGTATGATCTTTGACATTACTTAACCTTTCTCAGATTCAGCTTCTCTCTCTTTTTTTTAAAAAAAAGTGATAATTATAGCACTGACCTCAGTGGTTTGTTGTAAGAGATCAAATAAGATAACATATGTAAAGTATTTTGCCAAAATTAAAGCTCTATAGAAATGCTAACTATTATTATTGTTCTGGTGGTTCCCAGAAAAATAAGGTAAGAAACACCAAGCCCAGTCAAGAGTTCCTTCAACTTTAGCTACAGGAGACAAAGAAACTAAAGACTTTTGAATTGTCTGGCTTACATTGCTTTCTGCACAGAAGGTGACCACAGAGGCCGCCCTTTTGAAAGCAAAGATCTTGGGTTGCATGCCCATTTGTTCTGAGCAGTGTTCTGTGGTCTGTGTTGGCAGAGGGTCTGACCTACCCAGTCTCTTTTCTTTGAAGGTTAAGGAAAGGAGTAGGGGCAGGAGTAGGGGGGAGACTCATGTAGGGTCAAGGCTATCAGAGCAGGCTGGCTGCAGGCTGCTTCAGTAGATGTAGCCATCTCCTTGTTTTGGTGTCAGCATGAATGCTATTTTCAAGGGGCCTTCTTCCCCTCTGATGGTGTTGAGCTCTGCTGGCAGCCTGAGTTTTCCATTGCTTGCTGCCAATACTACACAGCTGTAAATTCCTTCTGAGTGGAGCTCTAAAAGTATTTACTTGACCTAACTCTAACAGGCTGCTTCCCTCAGCCATTGAGATCACTATGGTTGTTTGTGGTCATTATTGAGCATTTGTCAAACACTGCTAAGAAATGAGTGTATGAGTGTTAAGAATGAGAATTTGGGGGTAGGGGAGTTGTAAAGTGGGGAAATGAGAAAACTGGGTAGGAAGGGGTGAGATTGTATAAGAAACTAACTATGGACTCTCACCCATCTCCATTTTGAAGTATTCATCCATTTACAATGATATTCAACAAACTTATTAAGTGCCTACTATACCCCAACTCCACCCACTCTACTGGACTTTATGTAAGGAAACGCCGAATGACCTAGTGAAGAATGCAGGGTTTGGAGTAAGAAAAGGTTTAAAATCTAGCCTCTAACACTTGCCAGCTTTGCGACCATGGACATGATAGTTAACTTCTGGGCTCAATTTTGAAATAAGATTTATAATACCAGTAGTACCTACCTCATGGGAGTATTCTGAGGATGAAAAGAGATAAGAAGTTTAAAGCTATGTTTAAATGCCAGCTGTTATTAAGAAGGTTGCATGACGTGGTGTATGGAGTGCTCAGGGTTTGGAGTAGGGCCAACCTGGGCTCAAATCTGGCCTCTGATATTTGCTAACTGTATGGCCTTGGACACATTACTAAATCTTTGGGTGCATCAGGAAACTTTCTAGGACTTAGGTACTCAGGCATATAAAATACTAGGTCCAACTGCATAGGTGAAGGGAGATCTCAATGCTAATGAACTCACTGATCCTTCCTACGGCATTATTATTCCCTGAAGTTGGGCAAGGACAATTTAGGTACCTCTTGGTTCATAAGAGGAATTTGGTTTCCAAATACCAAATTCCAAAACAATGGACCCAGAGTCAAGAGAACTAGATTTATGGCCCAGATCTGATACTTAATGGCTATACAAGACATTTCATCTCTCGGAACCTATTTTCTCATCTATAAAATGAGCATATAATAGCACTTATCACAGTGGATTGTTGTGAAGTTCAAATAAGATAGTATATGTGAGGGGCTTTGCAGAGAGCTAACTGCAAATCTTTATTTTTTTTTTTATCCATACAGTTGAGAGCATTACAGGGTTATAGATTTAGAGCTGAAAGAGACCTCAGACACCATCCAGTCCAACCTCTTTCATATTATAGATGAGAAAATTGGCACCCAAAGATATTAGGTGACTTGCCTAAGGTCACACAGGAAGCAAGTGGCAGAGGTAAGATCTGAGGCCAGCTCTTCTCACTTAGAGCAGTTAGGTGATACAGCAGATAGAGCTCCAGGCCTGGAGTCAGGAAGACCCATCTTCCTGAGTTCAAATCTGGCCTCAGACACTTAAGATTTGTGTGACCCTAGGCAACTCGCTTCACCCTGTTTGTCTCAGTTTCCTCATCTGTCAAATGAGTTGGAGAAGGAAATGGCAAACCATTCCAATATCTTTGCCAAGAAGGCTCCACTGGGTTCATGAAGAATCAGACATCGCTGAAACAACTGAACAACAACAAAACTTCTCACTTAAAATCTAGAGTTCTTTAGCTGTGAGTGAGGGGGTGTGTGTGGGGGGGGGGGTAGTAATTTCACTGAAAGGAACTCCTGGTAAATGACTTTCTCTACCAGTGCTGAGAAGGTGCTGACCTATGTCTTAGAGAACTACCTAGGGTCACTTAGAGGTTAAGGTACTTGGACAGGGTCACACAACCAGTAGGTATCAGAGATGAGAACATAGGAGCATAGATTTAGACCTGGAAGCTATAATGTCTTCCTTCCCCCTAAGTCTTCTCTTTTCCAGGCTAAACATGCCCCATTTCATCAGCTAATCCTCATATGGCACAGATGGGGTCCACCCCATAGCTGCCCTTAGCAGAGAAATCTTTGGGCCTTGGTAGAGAATTTACTAAGTTATTCTCCAGTGGGCCTTCCTCTATGGCACAGGACCCAACACAACTTTACTAGCTTATGCTGCATCAGTATAGAGATTTAAAAGGGCCTCTTACTTGTGAAATCATGTCTTTTCTTGCTGTCCCAGAGTTATTAAACTCTGTGGATCTCATTCTTATTTTCTTGTGATACAGAGCCTCTGATACTGCCAGAGCCTGTTAATATCAAAAGCTTTCATCATCTCAATAAAGACCATGTAAAGGTCTCTGTGTTGTTCCTCGGATTTTTCCTGTAATTGTTATGTAGCCAGGATCTTATCAGCTGCACTGTGCTGTGATCAGACACCAGGCCAAGCCTCTGGGTGTACAACATTCTGGGATGTTATCCAACTGAGAAGGACCTTAGCCACTGTTTGAGCCATAGTTGGCAGCAAAAGAGTAGTCTCTTTGTGGAAATGATGGCTCTTCTGATAACCAGGTACATAAAATATTCCTGGAAGTGACAAGCAATATTTAGGCACCTGGAAGCAAAACTCGGGGCTTTGTTAATAGGCTCTAGAACTGTCTTTACCTAGACCTTTCTTGCCCAAACTTATCCTCTGTGAAGTTGTGGTTTTCAGGATAAGAATCAGGTTCTGGAAAGATATCCTCTGAATCTTCAGACTACCTGAGAAGTTGGCATTGATATTGGCAAGGTTAACAGATGGGCCAGCCACTGAGTGAAATGAAACTATATTGATGCAATTCAATGGCTGTTCGCTACAGATTACATAATCCCTAAATCTCTGCTGAATATGGAGAACACAGATCATGAAGAAGGTGCGGTCCCTTTCTTAAGTGAACTGGGATATTCTGAGCAGGCTGTGATGTGATAAACTAGCATTATCACATGATCTACCCTTGGTGTCCTGTACGTGAGGTTATGTTATAATAAGATCCAAAGCTAGATATACAACCCTTATTAGACCAAATCCTGGCCCGCGGTATTATTTATAGCAAGGCTCCAGTGTATTTAGAGTTTGCCTGCTGCTGGACACTTGAATACCTCTTTCAGACAGGTCAAGACCATCTTTCTATATCCTATAGTGCTAGGTTTCTTTGCTCCAAGGACATTCTTATAGAATGGAACCCATAGAGCAAAACTCACAACAAAATGCCCAAAAGCCTTCTGAAATAAGTCACTAGTGTTATCCTGTTTCTAGGGTTAACAAGTGATTCCTTGAAGTTGTTTACTTTGGAAGTCTGTTCTTTCATAGGTTGGCCTCCAAGTAGGATTGTTGCTACCTCAGAAGAATTATAAGAAATTTCCAAAATCAACTGGGTTCTCTAGGTATTCCCTCTGTCACTCAAGAAATTGCTTCCTTTATCTAATTTCCAGTCATCCAAAAATGGCAAAATGAGGTAGAAAACTTCATTAAAAAAATGTTGGCAATTTTATAATAAATACTTTAGCAGCTGATTTTAGAAGGGTGAGGAACCAGGTCAGAGTGACGAAGACCTGAGAGTTTAGTGACTATATAATCTCAGGAGATGCAGAGGAGTAATAAGCAGGATTTGGGTGAAAACTCTAATCCATTTTTTCTAAATTAAAGTATTCCAGCTTAGTATTTTGATGAAGCTCTATGAACACTCTTTGTTGGGTTGGATCTTGTCTATACAACTGGCTATACAACTCCTGGTACAGTGAGAAAAGCACAGGATTTGGATTTAGAGGACCTGGGTTCAAATTCCAGCTTTGGAAGGCAGTTAGGTGGCTCAGTGGATAGAGTGATGGGCCTGGAGTCAGGAAGACCTGAATTCAAATCCAGCCTCAGACACTTACTAGTTTTGTGACTCTGGGTAAGTCACTTAATCTCTGTTTGCTTTCACTGATTGGAGAAGGAAATGGCAAATCACTCCAGTATCTCTGTCAAGAGAAGCTCATGGACAGTATGGTCCATGGGGTCACAAAAAGGGACTTCAAAGAAGACTTCAGACTGATATAGTCAAGTGAGTAAGAGTCTGGTGGAATCAGGGGAGTAAGAATTGGGTGAAACTAAAAGCTACCCAAACCTTTTTGAAAGCATCCAGATAGCCAAGATCATTAGAAAGTCTCTCAGTAACACAGAGTAATTGACAATTTGCTTAGGACAAGTGATATAGTAGAAAGAGCATTAGACATGGTGCTAGAGGACCTGTGGTCAAGTCAGTGAATGAGCCTTGTGCAATGAGCCTGGCACAAAGTAAGTGCTTAATAAAAGCTTGTTGACTGACTGACTGACTGAATATCTATTTATGAGACCTTGGACAAGGGATTTAGCCTCTCTGGGGCTCTGTTTCTTTATCTGTAAAATGAAGGGGGCTTGGACCAGATCCCCTAAAGTCCCTTCTAGGTCTGAATCTATGATCCTGTAATCTTAGGAACTTTTCATGATTAGAATTAAAATTTGATTGAATGTCTTTTTGGGGTTTTGGTTGCAGACATAAATGAATGTGTGGATGAAAGTACCTGTGGAGAAGCTCGATGTAAGAACTTGGTGGGCTCCTATTCATGCATTTGCGAAGAAGGCTACATGTATGATAATGAGAAAAAAGTTTGCCAAGGTACTTCAGAGACAACACACCTCTTCCTTCCCTTTGTCCCCTCACCATCTTGTACTACATCCTAGGATAACCATCCCTCCCCTGCCTCCCCACCCCATATGCCACTGCTTACTTGTGGCTCATAGGGCATGTGCAGTTATTTCAAAGCAAGTTATTCCCCTTTTCAGGAAAATTTGATGTTAACCTTCGAGATACTGTGCAACTGTCAGAAATGGACTTAGGAAAAGAGTGAGGGTTGGGACCAAAAGATTTCCTGTTGGGGGAAAAAAGACCCTCCAGACTGCAGAACTCTGTCCCCCTCCCCTGCCAACCTTACTCCTTCCATATCTTTGTTGACTACTCCCTTCAAACATAGAGGAAAACATACGCACACACTTATATACATATATACTCACATATATTAATGAAACCACACTCTGGTACATCTATTCAATGTGCATACATGTAGAAAGAATCACTGTGCTCTACAGACAAATATAAACCTGTATCAATCTCTAAATATTCAAGACTCTATTTGGGGTGAATGCCTGGCTGAGTATGGAATGGGTATTGTATCTAATTGCTGAGCCTCAATTATACTATAGAAACAATGACTATTTCTAACTGCTTCTCCTTTACACACACACACACACACACACACACACACACACACACTCACTCACTCACTCACATATACACAGAGTGTATGGGGAATGATGAGGAGGTCCCTGGGTTATGTATGTCCAGAGAAATTGGGAGATACTTTCTCTTTCACAATTGTGCACCAGCATTAAAAGTATGTTTTAAAAGCCAATAATGAAAATTGGGTATCCCTCTCCCTTCCTACCATCTAAGAGGCTCACCTCCAAGAGTAACCCTATTTTCCAGCACTCATTTAAGCTCTGATTTTATGACTTCCAAGATGTGTGCCCATGATACAAATATATATCAAAATTAGGTGTAAATCTTGAAGTAAGGTAAATCACAATGTGTGAATTGCTCAAATTTCATCTTTTAAAAAGTGACCCTTGAATAAGTTTCTTTTGCCACTTTTTAAAGAAAAAACTAAAAAGGAGGAGGTCTAAGGACAGACTACCCAATGCCCATCACCAGCTCCTTGCTGCCTAGATTGTGTTTTAGGGACTCTTTTGTTTCAACAAGCACCAATACCTTCTTTATCTTCCCTGCCTCCCCTTTTGTGGCATGCAGATGTGAATGAATGTGAAGAAAAACTCTGTGAACAGACCTGTGTCAATTCTCCTGGGAGTTACGCTTGTCACTGTGATGGCAGAGGGGGAGTAAAACTGTCCCATGACATGAACACTTGCGAGGTACCTTTCACTTCAATACTTGTACAATGGAAAGCTCACCCCAGACTCAGCCTCCTGAATTCCAGCTATACAAATGCCATTATGAGAAAAGCTCATCATCCCAAAGAGAATTTCCTTTTTTAAAACAAACAAACAAGTGGCCAAACTTTATCTAGGTTGGATTATAGGGAATGCTTAACTCTTGTAACTGTCAAGAGAGATGGTGTGCAATCCCTCTGCCTCTGCTGAAGGCTGTAGCTCCTGTATTCATTGGAAATATATGGAGGCTTGGTATAAGACCTGCTTCTGCACTAATAATAATGTTTGGTTGTATTTGCAGGATCACCATGGTAACCATGAGCTTGAACAACTGACCGGTACCGTTAGTTGTAGACCAAAAAGTGTGACACATGCGAATATGCATTTTCTCCTAAATCTGTCACACTTACTCAGGAAGCTAGTCTGTTAGACAGGGCTTCAGTTACACATGTATGTAATTAAGTGCTGAACAATCACACACCTCCATGGGCTGACGGGATTGCCTTTATGCATAACTTTTGCTGTTTACCTGATGCTTCTGAGTAAAGCATGAAGGGTCAAGCCTGGTCAAGCAATTACATTTTGCCTTAAAAAAGAAAGAAGAAATGAAAAAGCAAAATATTTCCAGATGAAACAAACAAGTAGTGTGGATTTTTACAGCTATAATATACTGGGAAAGTATAATATATGGTTTCTGCAGTCTATAACCAAGTTGGGGAGGCAGTGAACACCAGACTGACTCACAGTGATGGCTTCTGTAACACAGTGAATAGAATGCTGGGGCTGGAGTCAGAAAGATCTGACCTCATATCTGGCTTCAGACACTTCTAGCTGTGTGACCCTGGGCAAGTCATATAACCTGTATCTGCCTCAGTTTCCTCATCTGCTAAATGGGGATAATAATGTCACCTACTCACCTCCCAAGGTTGTTGTGAGGCTCAAATGAGATGATAATTGTGAAACACTTAGCACAATAAGCACTATGTAAATATTAGTTATTATTATTATTAATCAGTACTTTCTCCCTGATTTTCTCACAAAGCTATAAATTATCATTCTCCAGTAGTGGCTCAAGGGCCCTTTAGTAATCAGGCAAAGTCTTCTTTATGGCCCTTACCAAATATCTCCACCACCCACATTCTTCTCCTGGCATAGTATAGTGAAAAGTACATTCTCCTAGGAGTCAGGAGAACTGGAATCCCTATTGTGCCACCCATTAGCTATACGCAAGCTGCTTCATCCCTCCTGGTTTAATTCCCTTATTCATAAAAGGAGGTGTTTGGACTAGCTTTTAGTTCTCTAATTTCTAAAGCAGTAAGTTTCCTTTGACTGTGACTGACAATGACTTTTTTTTTTCTGGACAGGACATATTGCCATGTATTTCTTTTGATGTGGCCAAAAGCGTGAAATCTTTATATCTCGGCCGAATGTCCAATGGGGCTCCGGTGATCAGGCTTCGTTTCAAAAGGCTGCAGCCCACAAGGTGAGGATATGCCAAGAGTAAATATTTTAATCTGTCTCTTTAGTTCAGACACAAGTGGAGATACTCTCTTAAAGGGCCATTGCTTGCAGTGGCCAAAAAAAAATATAACAACACCATCGGACCCTCAGGTAAATGGTTATTGTCCTCAAAATGAAAAAAAAAATTGTCATGCTGGGGGATTCCACCTTTCATGGGTTTCTTAGAGCACTTGAGGGGCTATTTTGGCAGTAGACGGATCTACATTTAATCATGAGTTGGATTATGTGCCATTGTGAGCACTGAACTGCATTCTAAATGTGAGAATTTGAGCTGTCGGTAGGGAAACAAACATTTGGTAGTTATGACCTCTGCATAATTCTAATTTGTTTCTTGACACCCTCATGATCAGAGTTGTGGCTGAATTCGACTTTAGAACCTTTGATCCTGAAGGTGTCATTTTCTTTGCCGGAGGCCGTCAAGACAACACATGGATCATGTTGGCTCTACGGGCTGGGAGGTTGGAACTGCAGCTGAAATACAACGGCATAGGGAGAGCCACCAGCAGTGGGCCAGTCATTAACCATGGCATGTGGCAAACAGTAAGTACATGCTCTTTGTTTGGTTTGCCATTCATTGGGTTCTCCTAAAGTGTTGCCCTTCATGGTTGATGGAATCACCACCACCACCACCCCATCGCAGCCACTCCAGAGTCATTGTTGTTGCTAGTTTCTGGGAATTAGTGGCTTGGCATTGCTGCAGTTGACCCCAGGAAAATGTAGCGAGATTTCTTAAGTGTCTACTATTATGGGACAGAATTAAGTGAGAAACATAGCGCCCTTTAATCTTGCCCACATTTTTTTTTTGGCTTTTTGTGAGGCAATTGGGGTTAAGTGACTTGCCCAGGGTCTCACAGCTAGTAAGTGTCAAGTGTCTGAGGTTGAATTTGCACTCAGGTCCTCTTGACTCCACCGTGCCACCTAGCTGCCGACATTCTTCTTCAATATGCCTGGACTGTATATTCTCCTCACTTAGCCTCTTAAAATCTTTAGCGTCATTCAAGCCTCAACCCCAGGGCTGCATTCTACGAGGAGCATTTCCTGACCCCCTTAGTTGGTAGTGCTCCTTCAATACATCCTCAAATTATTTTATATTCATTTATCTCTTTACATGTATCACCTCACTAGATCGTAAGCTCCATAAGGGCTGGATTTTGTCTTCTATGCGTATCTCAAACACCTAGCAAGGTGCCTTGCACTTAGTAGTTACTTAATAAATGCCTTTGAATTGCTTGACATTCACAATCTGACTTTTTGGTATCATCTTCCATACATGCATTAATTATATTCTTTCTTAAAGCAGAAACTTACCTATTCAAGGTTCAATATTTAGTAATACACAGATATAAATATTCCTGGCTATTTTTATGTGTGCAAATACAAGTTAAGCCTTTTGATTCCACTGGAGTTAGACAAGTTCCTCTCAACTGCATCATGAGACTTCTAGTCTAGGTAGATAGTATGAAGTTTCCTTAGATACAACTTTCCTGGCAAGAAATCTGAATTCTTGTCATTGTAATATAACAGGGGTCAGTTTGGTCATTGCAAAGTGGTGTGTTTTTTGACAGTAGTTTTTTTTTTCTTTAAAACTAGAAAACAAGGAAAACCACTATCCCTAACCCTTAAAAATAAGATAATATGGAAAATTTCACTTCGAACTCTATTCATAAAGACGTTGTAGACATTTGGTAATATTTCCATCCCATCAAGTAATGTCTCATTCCCTTCCTGACCTCTTAAAGTAGTAAGAATCACCAAAGCAACAGGAAGGGTGCGTTTCAGCAAAGTTGCAGATAAAAATGTAGAACGTCGAGGAACTGTATTACTCTCGAGGAACCAGGATTTCTGAAAAGTGAGAGCTTTACTCATTTGTAGGTATTTAAAACACTGTTCACTCCACGGTCCCTCAGCCAAGAGCATCACAAAACCAAAGGTGGGGAGCCTGGGGATGGCCCAGGGATCAGATAGCTCTTGGGAAAGTGTTACAGAATATATCTGATATAGTCCTCACTCACTGTTGACTCACAGCTGCCACCACCCAGCAGAAATAAACTAGTTCCACTGTTTTGTTTGGGAGTGTGACAAATTTAGAGGAGACAGATCTCATTCAGGAAGACAAAGGTAGTCAGTCCTTGCTGGGGAGGGACTCCCAGTTCTCTTCCTGTTATGCCATCTGTTTAGATATTCTAGGTTCAGAAAGACCGAAGCACTATCCCTTAAAAGTGAAGGTGTTGCATTCACTCCTTTTACTAAAGCCTAAAGGAGATGGGTAAAACTGCTTGACCCACTTTTCAAAGTCTCCCAGCTCAACAGAAAGAGCACTAGGTCTAAAGTCAGAAAGATCTGAGTTCAAATCCAACCTCAGACTCTTACCAGCTGTATGACCCTAAGCAAGTCATTTAACCCCTGTTTGCCTCAGTTTCCTCATTTGTAGAATAAGAGTGTTGGACCCAATGACTTCTAAGACCCCTTCCAGTTCTGAATCTATGACTCTGTGATTCTTATCCATGTTTATCTATACATCTTCTGTAGAGAACCCACCCTTATGCACTAGAGGTCTTCCTCTTATTCTTCAGTGTCTCAGCCTCCCAGTGTATCACTTGGGCTGTATCTTATTTTTGAGAGCTGACTGGCACACTTCCTTTTGAAGTCACCCATGTCCTAGATACTGTCTTATATGTCACTTCTTACACATAAGTTTGAGTTGGTAACATGCTTTACTGTTCTACGTAATATTAGCTAACATTTATATAGTGCTTATTACGTGCCATGTGCTATGCCAAGTATGTTATTATCTCGTTTGACCCTCGCAACAACCCTGGGAAGAAGGTAGGTGCTATTATTATCCCTGTTTTACAGATAAGGAAACTGAGGCAGATAGAGGTTAAGTAACTTGCTTAGAGTTAGACAGCTAATAAGTATCTGAGGCTAGATTTGAACTCAGGTCTTCTTGACTCCAGACCTGACACTCTATTCACTGTACCACCTAGCTGCCTCTGCACCCACCATGCATCTTTCAGTTGGGTTATTCCTAAATGTAATCTTTTGGAAATCTTGGTGTGCCATTATTGTCAGCCTTATAGCATTATTGAGAGAACGGGTAGATTTTTGCTGCAGATAGTTTGGGATCATTGAAAGCATAGTACTATTTCCCAAAGGCAATCTAGCCCATGACCTTCCCAGTCAATTGTGGGAAGAGTTTATTTTCCATAGATATATTTTGGATACTTAACCAGCTGTGTGACCTTAAACAAGTCTCTTCACCTCTCTGAGTCTTGCTGTCCTCATCTAAAAAATGAAAGTGTTGGATTATTACCCCTGAGGTACCGCCCAGGTCTAGGTTTTTGATGTTGTATGGCTTCTCAAGACCATTTGGTTAAATACAGGCACTCTGGGTTACAACTGGGTTGAGTTTCAGACATTGTTTGGAATTTGGAATACATTTTCTTATAGAACCCATGTTTATGAAGGTTCTAAAGCCAACCCACCGGAGACCATAATGCTATTACGGCCATAAATAACCCAGAATCCCAAGTTCCCTTCAGATCCTTAAGCCAGTGTCCCTCTGAACTCTGAATCCCTCTGAACTTTAGCTAAGGGAGAGAGAGGAATCAGGTAAGGGAATGGTGATTGAGTGGAAGTTCTGCTGTCTGGCAAACTGCTGTGGCAGCATAGAGAGAAACACAGAGCATCATTGAGGTGAGAGGGTGCTTCATGAGGAGTGGCTACCCAGCAACAGCAGCAGAAGGGTCCTATCACTATCACTGAAGACATCCACAGGGTTAGGGAATAAGAAGGAATGACTTATGCAGAAGTGGGACAGAATAGCAGTGGGTGTGCACATTGAAAAGTCCTTCAAAAGTTGTGTTCCTGAGTCAGAAGCTGTCTGTCAACTACTGAGTAGGCCCACCCATCTGTTAACTTCAGCATTTCAGAGGTTTAGAACACTCTCTATATAAAGTAATCTTCATTGTTCTGTAACATACAGTTCAAGCTTACATTCATTTGTTAGTAGCCTGCCTTACCATGGGAGGATCACTGTTAATGGAGTGAATGAATGAATTCTTTTTTCCATTCACCTGCTCATATGGTTACTTACTCTGGTAAGTAGGGGAGTAGCTAATTCAAGACTGATTTAAAGAATAAAATAAAAAGAATAGATTGTGGGTGTTTATGGACTGGAACACCAGCAATATGTTGGCCTGGATTTAATTCTTATTTGTCTAACCTTATGTAGATAATATGTATTTAAACAGTCATTGGGTAGATGTTCACAGCCATAATGAAGTAAAAGGATGACTGACAGAGGAAACTGCTCAATAAAAGGTGCTTTCTCCTGCTTAGTGTAATGGAAAGAACACTGGATTTAGCTAAGGACTGGATTTCAAGCCCAGGTCCTGTCTGGAAGTTCCATGTTCAGAAAGACCAAAGTACTATATAATATAAGAGAGAGTGCTGCATTCAAACCTGTATGACTTCAGTGTGTCCACATTGATCAACTGAAACTGCACTCTCCAAAGTTACCAATAATCTCCCAATCACCAAATCTAATGGCTTCTTCTCAGTCTTCATCCTCCTTGACCTGTCTGCTGCATTTGACATAGCCAACCAACCTCTGCCCCTGGATACTTTCTTTTCTCAGGGTCTTCAGGGCACTCCTCCTGGTTCTTCTGCCTGTATAATTGTTATGTCTTAATCCCCTTTGCGTATTCATCATCCATGTCCTACCCACTAAATATGAGTGAATCCCAAGATTCTGTCCTTTGCTTTTCTCCTTTCTCTCTCTACTCTCTCCATGACCTCATCAGCTCACATGATTTCAATGATTATCTCTATGCAGATGACCTCCAGATCTATTTATCTATTCCTACTCTCTCTTTCCTGAGTTCTAATCCTATATCACTAACTAACAATCCAACATTCCAAACTGCATGTTCTGTAGGCATCTCAGACTCAACATATCCAAAATAGAATTCATTATCTTCACTCCACTCCCTACCTTCACAGAGCCACCCATCTTCAAAATTTCCCTACTACTTTTGTGGGTACTACCATCCTTTGAGACACCTGGGTTTGCAACCTCATTGTTATTTTCACTGGTTCACTCACCTCACATAATGGGTCAGTTGCCCAATCTTGCCATTGCTTTCTGTATAACATACTTCACATAGGTTCTCTCCTCCCCACTCACACAGTACCACCCTAATTTAAGTCCTCATCACTTCTTCCCTGAACTATTGCTCACCTGAAACTTCCTATTTCATTTCCCCTCTTTAATCCTCTCCCTACTCTACTACGCCCTTTACATAGCTGCCAAAACGATTTTCCTAAAGGGCAAGTGTGATTCATGTTGCCTTTAACTTGCCACCTTATTCTACAAACTCCAGTAGTACTCCCCATGGTTTCAGGATTCAAATATAAACACCTTTATTTAACACTTAAAGCTTTTCTTCCTTCTCAGACTTCTTACACGTTACTCCCTTGCTCACTCTCTGAAATCCAATCTTACTGTCCTATCATAATATTCAGTTGTATTTTCTGTTACACAGGCTGTTCCATCTCCTGTCTTTGTACAGGTTGTCTCCTTTGCCTAGAATGTACTCCTTCCTCACCTCCACCTCTTGGAATGTCTCATTTTCTTCAAGACTTAGCTTAAATGTCACCTTCTTCATAAGGTTTTTCCTGGTGCCTCCCTCCCAGCTAATACTGCACCTACTCCCAAAATTGCTTTATATTTTGTATATATTTGTAAATATGCACTTTGTCTCTGCCATTAGAATATAACCTCCTTGAAGATAGGGAAATCTTAAATTATGTCTTTGTATCACTAGCGCTTGGCAGAGTCCCTGGCAATATAGTAAGTGCTTAATAAGTGCTTGTTGGTTGATTGATGATTTTAGCCTAAGTTTCAATTTCCTCAACTATAAAATGAGGGGAATGGGATAGGATAGAATGTGATAAATAGGATATGATAGATAAGTTTAGATAAAATAGAATAGATAGCATAAGTAGAATAGGATAGGATAGATAGGATAAGATGAGACAGAACAGAATAGGATAAATAGGCTATTTTAGGATAGATAGGATAGGATGGAATAAATAGGTTAGGATAGATAGGGTAAGATTCAGATGGGATTAATAGGATAGGGCAGGATAGACAGAATTAGATAAAATAGGATATATAGCATAGGGTAGAGTAAAGTAGGGCTCTTTCAGTTCTCTATTCTATGATCCTCAGCTCTAAAGGTCAAGTGGTTACACCTACTATTCTGGGAGATATAAGTGGGCAAAGGATATAGGATCTTGACTTGGAGAACTCTTTGGAGTAGTCTTTGGGGTATGAGACTAAATTATATTTCAGCACTTTCCCTAGGATGAATCTGAATCACTGTATTGGCCTTGGAATTGACCTCTTTGGAGAGTCTCAGGACTGTGAATGTCTAACAACAAGTCAAATATTTGAGAATCTGTTTCTGTTCTCTGTTAGGTCCTTGTCTCTAGAGATGACATTTTGGGGCTGAGGGAGGGAGACAAAGTTACCAAACACATTGTCTAATGTATATCCATCGAGCCTATGATCCTCATAGTGTTGGCATTGCCAAGTGCTCTTTCCAAAATTGTAGTTTATACTATAGCAATAGATCAAAATAGCCTTTTGGGGGGATAGTTAAGGCAAAAGCAGAGTCACTATCCAAAGTGGGCTATGGTTGTAAATCTTGTTATCTCAACTATAACCCTTAATTTGATACATTTCTTCAAGACTATCTCATCTAATTCTAGTTATGCCACTCACCAGCTATGTGACATTGAGCAGATCACTTAACCTCCATGGGCCTCAGTTTTCTCATCTGTTATACAAGGTGTTAAATTAGGTGATCTTTAAGGTCCCTGCCATTCTAGATACTCTGGATATGCTGCTATTATTGTCGTCATTAATCTATTGTTATAACCCAGGTTTTTTAAAAAGTCTTACAAAAATCAGAAGTCCTTGACATGGGATAAATCCCAAAGGCATCCAAGATTTTGATGTCTAGCATGGTAGAATGGGATGAAGCCTAGACTTGTAATCAGAAGACCTGGGTCCAAGTTTTGGCACTTCACTTTTTTTGGACTTCATAGAAGACTGGGGGAAGGGGTAGGGGGGATGCGGGAAGGAAAGACATAATAGCTCTATTCAAGAAATTGAAGGGCTGTTATGTGTAAGAGAGATTCAGCTTGTTCTGTTTAGCCCTAGAGGGCAGAATTAGAAGAAATGGGAGGAAGTTGCCAAGAGAGAAATTTAGGCTTGGTATCTGGGAAAACTTCTTAACAATTTGTTGTTGTTCAGTCATTTTCAGTTGTGTCTGACTCTTTGTGACCCCATTTGGGGTTTTCCTGGCAAAGATACTGGAGTGGTTTTCCATTTCCTTCTTCAGCTCATTTTACAGATAAGCAAACTGAGGCAAACAGAGGTTAAATGACTTGCCCAGGGTCACACAACTAGAAATGTCTAAAGCCAGACACTCAGGTCTTTCTGACTTCAGGCCTGGTGCTTTATCCACTGCACTACTTCGCTGCCCAGTGAATATATGTTGTCCACAGAAAACTGTGAATTTGCCTAGACCAATCTCCCATACTGCTCAGCAAAGGACTAGGCTGCCTTCCCAAGCAGCAGTGGGTATGTTCTCAGGGAATGTGCATTCATTTTCACAGAAGGATAACATTGGAGCTAGAAGGAACTTTGGAGGTCACTTGATCTAACCCTTCACTTGTAAAAGGTTAAATTAGATGATCTAATCAAAGTTGCATAGAGAATAAGTGGCAGAGATATAAACCCAGCTCCTCTAACTCTGAATTTCTAAACTCTTCCTACTGTATCATCCATCTAAGCTCAATGTAAGTATGAAAGTACACACTTCAACATCATTATTGTCTGGACAACCTGGTGATAATGACCTCCGAACCTATCTAGGCTGAGCCTTAGATGAAATCCACACAGGCCATGTCTGGGCACATAGTTTCCTATGACGTGGCAGAGCTTATCCTTTACTTAACATTGAAGACTCGCCCCAGGTGTATTTACCAAAATACAACTTTGGATTGGTTTGTGTCTGTGTTTTCTTATTCCTGGGTCATGTATTGCATCTTCAGAAAGCCAGAAAGGATAAAGAACATTCTGTCCACACAGAGGGAGAAGGCAAAGCAGATCTTAGTTGCTCCAAAGGATGTTTGTTATATATGAAAGTCAAGTTCTGCCTGAGATCTTAAAAGAGAGAAAAACCACATTGCAAATATGTCTGTGTCTCCTAACCTTTGTCTGATGCCTTTGGCATTTAGACATCAGTCTATTTGCTTTTTAGATGCATCTGGTATCTAAAAATTGGACCTTTTGATTGCCTGAAAGATTATGTTATAAATCATGTCTCATTATATTAAGCATGCATCATAGTATTGGACAGACCTGCTGGTTCTTTTCACTTGACAGCACCAGCTTTTCTGAATTTCTCAAAACATTGTCCTGGCTCTTGGCAAAAATGCATACTGTTCCTTATGAACACATTTGCCCTGAACATAGAGGGGTCAGAGCAGCTGAAGTTTTGAGCAGTAGAAGAATTGAGTACCTTCTCCCCTGGAGTTCAGTTGCCCCTTTCTGAAGGAACATTCTCACCCTTTGTTCTTCCACAGATTTCCGTTGAGGAGGTGGAGAGAAATCTTGTGATCAAGGTTAACAGTGATGCTGTTATGAAAATAGCGGTCTCTGGGGAACTTTTTCAATTGTACCGAGGACTGTATCAGCTGAACCTAACAGTGGGAGGCATTCCTTTTAAAGATAAATACCTCGTTCACCCAGTAAGTACCATCATTAATCACTGACTATTAATGAATTATACAATATGTCCTAGAGGCTGAGACTTGTGTTAGATAGACACTTTCCCTCCATCTGCCAGTGGGTAATATTAACTAAGTTTGGCAAAGGGCCTAGGAAAAGGTGAAAGCCATTTCACTATTTCAAAAAGAAGACCTACATTCTTAATCATATGAGCTGGTCTTCACTCTTTCCTTTCTTTTTTCAGGCTTAGTTTCAGGATGAAAGTCACTTAAGATGAAAATAAAAGTAATTTTCTCTCTTTTTTTCAAAAGAGAACTCAGCTTTATTGGACTGAAATTTGGGAGTATCTTAGGAAGTTACGCATTTCCACAGAAATAATCTTGATGAGGAAATTTGAAGCAATCATTTCTCAAAGAGCTGCCTTCCCTCCTTTCCCACCCCCTACCCTCCTTTGCGGCAATGGACCCTTTACCCTGTTTTTTCCTTATCTCTAATGGTCCTTAGATAAATGGCTAAAATCCTCATGAGTATGGGTTTAATTTCTGTACAAAAAAAAAGAAGAAGAAGAAGTAGCAGCAGCACGAGCATCGAGGGATGCCAAATTATGAAAATTCTTGGCTCCTTTCCCTGAGCTCTTGCTCTTCACAGGTGGTCAGAGGGGAGGCATCTGAGGAATAAGGGAGTGTCAGCTCTTACATTCCCCTCCAAGGCCAATTTCATTCTTTCAAGGTCTCAAGTTCAACAGCAGTTGAGACCAGACCTCCTGGGCCTATTAATTTTAGAGATAAAGTAAATAGAAGGCAGTAAAATGAGTTGGATTGATTTGCCTAAGACTAGACTTTCTGACAGGGCTAGCATTAGCATTAATAGGCCCTGAGTTGATCAGAATTTGCCTGGCATAATTTAAACAAAATTAGCTTTAAGAATACCAAGGAAACAGATACCAAGCACAAAGTTATTTGGTAGTTGTCTTATTTATTTATTTATTAATTACCATCGTCTCTGGCCATATTTCTTTGAGGTGGGGACAGCTGTTTTACTACCAGTTTTACAGGTAGGAGCAGCAAAGTACACAACTTCAGATGTATATCACTTTCTGAACATGATTGATAGGCCTTGGGAGAAATCACATAATCTCTTGGGGACTCATTTTCTTTTTTTTTTCTTTTTTTAAAATTTAGTTAACAAAAATCCATTTTTTCTCCTTCCCACTCTCCTCCCACCAATTTAAAAAACAAAAGAAAAAGAAAATAGGCTCCAAATGGATATGTAACTTAGATATCAGGGCTGACATCATAAACAAATTAGAGGAACAAGGGGGGAAATTTGCCTATGGATAGGGGAACAGTTTATGGCCAAAGAAGAGTAGAGAGGATCACAGAAGATAAAACAGGTCTTCTTTTCCTCAGGTTTAAAATGATTGGGTTGAATTACGTGTTGTCTAAATGTTCTTCCAGCTTTAAATGCTGTTACCCTATGCCTAAGAGTGCCAAGCTCCTTTCCAGTACTAATGAGTTGTGTATAATACCTTGATATAACACTGGGATTAAGACATATTAAGACATATGGGGGCAGCTAGGTGGCGTAGTGGATAGAGCACTGGGAAGTCAGGAGGACCTGATTTCAAATCCGGCTTCAGACCAAACACTTGACACTTACTAGCTGTGTGACCCTGGGCAAATCACTTAACCCCAATTGCCTAAAAATAAAACAAAAAATTAAAAAAGACATATGGTATGCTTATCAAATTTATGGATGACACAAAGCTAGAAGAAATGTATTAGCTAACGCAAATGACAGAATTGGGATCCAAAAAAAAATGTTATGCAAGATCGAATAGTGCACCATAGATAACAAGATTACATTTAGTTGGAATAAATGTAAAATACTGTACTTGGATTCAAAAAATCAATTGCACAAATACGGAATGGGAGATATGGAGTATGACTAGAAAGTTTGGAAGACTACAAGCCATTAGTAAACTTTGATATAGCAGCTAAAAAAGCTAATATAGATTTAGGACAGATGGAATAACAGAAGCATAATCTTCAGAGTGAAAGAGGGCATAGAATACTTTCTTCAGAGAGTTGTTGTAGGGATAGCTTTCTCTAACTTAATGCACCATATAAATGTGAAGCATCATTATCACCATTGATAATAATACTAATCTTTTCATCTCCAATTTTGGTCATACTACTTTTACAGTATATGTATCTAGTTAAGGATGCCACTTGAAAAAGGGCATTGAAGAACCAGAGTTCAAAAGGGGACAATCTGTATGGTGGGGTATTCAACTATGTTATAGGGAGATCAGTTGAGGGACTAGAGATGTTTCATCTGAAGGGAAAGAACACATAACTGTAAAGTGTTATCATGTAGAAGAAGAAATAGATTATTCTTCTTGGCCCCAGATATCAGAACTAGGAGCAACAGTTAGGAGATGCAGTATAAAAAAGACTTTCTAATGGAAAAATTCAGAAATAGAATAGTCTGACTGATAAAGTGGTGCTCATATTTATGTAATATATAAATTTTTTAAAAAAGCATTTTACATACATAACCTCATTTTACCCTTGCAATGACCCTATAAGACAGATGCTATCTATTAACCCCCATTTTATTGATGAGGAAACTGAGGCTGAGTAGTTAAGTGACTGGCTCAGAGTCACATAGATAGTAAATGTCTAATGTGGGATTGAAACCCATGTCTTTGTGACCTCTAAGTACAAGCCTCCATTTATGCCAGGCTGCCATTTTATTAAAGGATTTGAAATGAAATAATCAATTGTGTAGAAGGGGTTCTTACTTCAGCTTTGGGTTGGAATACGTGGTTTCTGAGGTCCCTTACCACTTTAAGACTCTGTGAGTGTTTAGTATAAATTCAATTTTTGCAAATCAAAACACAGTCCAATTGAAAGCCTATACTAAATCATTTTATATATGAATGCCCAAATGTTTCTGTATTGTAAATGGGGAGTTGAATATGTCCGTTTAGAGTAAGTCACCTCTTGCCTGTCTCCCAGTGGATTACTTTGTGGATTTGGTGACACCACTGGGTCCCACTGCCACTTGATGGGTCTCTGGGAACAACACCCTTCCTTGCCACTCCCATCCCAAGGAAGCTACTGGGATTCTCTTGTCTTTCCAGATAAACCCTCGTCTGGATGGTTGCATGAGGAGCTGGAACTGGCTGGATGGGGATGATACCACAATCCAAGATATCGTAAAAATGAACAGCAGAATGCAGTGTTTCTCAGTCATGTCAAGAGGATCCTTCTACCCTGGCAATGGATTTGCATATTTTAGTCTAAATTACAGTAAGTGATTATAATACAATGGCTATGATTATATTCCTCAGACCCTTACTTACTAGCTGTGTGACCCTGGGCAAATCACTTAATTTTGTTTACCTCAGTTTCCCCATCTGTAAAATGAGCTAGAGAAGGAAACAGCAAATCACTGCAGTAACTTTGCCAAGAAAACCCCATATGGGGTCATGAAGAGTCAGACATTACTGAAATGGCTGAACAATAACAATATTCTCTAGCCAAAAAAGAAAAATTTAAAATCGCATATCTGTGGCCTGAAAGGAATTTGCCATTGAAACTTACATCACATTTTGATTAATTTGTTACTTAACAAAGATTCCATGCAATACTAGCATAGAGACCTGTGTATATAGATGCATTTCCACTTAGATACATAATTTCTCTTAGTATGATTTTTAAATATTATTGGATTAAAGGGGCAAAGATGTTGCTTCCAGTTCTAAATCTATGAAAATATGAGAGATGAGAGGGCAAAATTGTTAAATTATATTCCATTCTGTTAAGATTTAGGTAGAATCTCAGTTCTTTATTTACATTAATGTATTATTCACAGCTCTAAATTTGTTAAGCATACCATCTGTGTTTTCATTCTAATTCATCATCAGTGATTGAACTAGGCTCTTGCGATGTCTTCCTGTCTCTTTACACTCACATTCAGAACCTAGATCAGTCTCACAACTGTCCCTCTAAGGCATCCTTACCCCTAAACACTTTATTCTCACCTTGGTCATGATATCTGGGGCACACAAAAAGCTTAGGAAATACATAAGTACTTTTAAAACATCAAGTCAATGAAATTTAACAATTTCATATAATCCTTTCATCTTCATTTGGAAAGGATAATAAGATCTTTCACTGGTAAAGGACCTTTAGAATCATCTATTTCTACTTCTTGTCCAATGTGGAAATCTTTCCTTTATGCCTGATATATCACTTGTGGCTTTTTTTTTTAGCAACAGTTCTTAATTTCTCTGAATTATGCCTCAGTTAACCTAAAGGTGTCAAGGGCCATTTAATCCATCTTCTTATCCCTGATCTTTGTCTTGCTTTTTTGGGGGGAGGGATGATATCTTGGCCTATGTAGATTATTGTCATTTCAAGGTGAATGTAGTTTTGACCCTACTTTTCACCTTCCCTTCTTTCCTGCCCAACTTCTTGGTCACTGATGGAATTGCCACCTATTTTCTTTGGAGAATTTTTGTTTCTGACCTTCCCTCTCTCACATTCAAACTCTAGGTCAGGCTTAAAACTGCCTCTCCATAGCATTGCTGCCCTTAAATGCATCATTCAGGCCACTTTGTATCTGAAAAACTGGAACCTTTGGCCTCGGTCAGGCCACATCTGGAGTATTAGGATCAACTCTAGGTGTACCTTTTTAGGAAGAGCATTGAGAATGTTTGCATGAGGACAAGAAAGAATGTAAAGAGCCTTGAATTCATGGCTTATGAGAGTCAGTTCAAGGAACTAGCAGTGTTTAACCTTAAGACTATCACAAGATATGATTGCTGATTTTCAGTATTGTCATATGGAAAAGGGGATTTATTTGCTCTGCAACTCCTCAGAGGGCAGAACTAGATGACATGTCAGTGTGTGTGTGTGTGTGTGTGTGTGTGTGTGTGTGTGTGTGTGTGAGAGAGAGAGAGAGAGAGAGATATGTTAGGTGGTGCAATGTATAGAGCGTAGGACCTAAAGTCAGGAAGACTCATCTTCCTGAGTTCAAATCTGGCCTCAGACACTTACTAGCTGTGTGACCCCGGGCAAGTCACTTCACCCTCTTTACTTCATTTCCTCATCTGTAGAATGAGCTGGAGAAGGAAATGGCAAACCACTTCAGTATCTTTGCCAAGAAAAACCCAAATGGGGTCACAAAAAGTTAAACATGACTAAAACAACCAAGCAATAAAAACATGGGGGTAAGACGTGCCAGCAGGGTTGAAAAGAGGCAGATTTCAACTTGATGTAAGAAGAAAAAAAAAAACTTCCTAAGAATTAAAGCCATCCCAAAGTGGAATGGGCTACCTTGACAGATAGCAATTTCCACTAAAGATCCAAGCAAAGACTAGGCAACCACTTGTTTGGTATGTTATAGAAGCCATCTTTATTTGGATTAAATAGCCTCTGAGATCCTTTCCAACTCCAGGATTTTGTGATTCTCTTAATTCTCATTCACACTTTCTCAACCTTCTCGTCCATCCAGAGTGACAGTGAACCACCATCATTCGAGACTGTCACAGACCATGCCATTTCCCAAGAGTTTCTATCCTCACCCTCAATGCAGGAAGGAGCACAGAGGGACCTAATGTTTGCTTGTCCAGCTTCCAGAAAACTCCTACCACCCCTTTTCATTGAAAGCTATTTTTTTTTCAATGTTATCTTTTTGATGAATAAAGTCCTAGGACAATGGAGCTTGCATTGTGTTTAGAGTGCTGTGGACTCTTCATCAATTTTAAACATTGTCCATGTCTCTTTTGGGATATGAGAGGGGAGAAGAGATCATCTAACTAAGAACTCAACATAAATGGAAATGGTTATGGATTAACCAAGTTCTTATATCCTTGGGGATTCCTCAAAAGGGATATGAGAGAGGAGGGAGTGGGATAGTTTCTACATTTTTTTCTTGGGAAAATTGCCTAAGAGAAATTGATTCTCTTGATTAAGGAAGAGCTTACTGCTAATTATAATTGTGGCATCTTTTTTTTTTAAGCATCTTCAAAATTGCTAGGCTCTAAGACCACAAGCTATAGAGCAGATAATTGCTCACAAGGATGGAATCATAAGTCCAGTAAAAAAAAATTACAAACATACAAGAATAAAAACACAAACCAAAAAAACCCCAAAATGTACAAACATACAAAAACAAACAAACAAACCCCAACAATTTAAAGATTAACTTTTGGGGGAAGTCCAGACCTGTGATTACATCAGTATAGGGAACTTCCTATAGAGAGGCAGATCAGAAGCTGTACTGCAACTTACAGTTTTGCGGAGTTGCCTAAATATTATAACTAATGTTTATACAGTACATTTAATAGTTGACATTTTATATAGTGCTTATTATGTGCTAAGCACTATACAAATATGTCATTTGATCTTTACAACGACAATGTGAGGTAGATGCTGTTATTATCCCTATTTTACAGATAAAGAAACTGAGGCAGAGGTTAAGTGACTTTCCGAGGGTCACCCAGAGAATTGAAGCTGGTTTTGAATTCAAATCTCCCTGACTCTAGGTCCAAGGCTCTGTCCTCTGTTCCCTCTAGTTGTCTCTAGCCAGTAGCTATCAGGTGGTGTAACACCAAGGAATACTTTTCTCTTGAAAAAAATATTCCTTGTGATTGCTTCTACAAAATGCAAATAACAACTTAAAAAAATTATTTGGAGTAAAGTATTAGAATTAGTGCTTACTGATAAAGCTATATATTTGTATAATGCCTTCCGTTTTACAAAGCCCTTCGCATAATTTATCTTATTTGATCCTCCCAAATATTAACACTAATATTATTGTCCTTGTGTATACAATATACAGTATACAGATGAGAACTTGGGGCTCCGAGAGCTAAAGTGTGTTGCCATGTATCTCCCAGCTAGGGTAGAAGAAGATGAGACTTGACCCCAGGCTTCCTTTCTCCAAAGCTAGCTGCTCTTTCCAGTCCAGCACCCTGCTCCACTGAATGGGGAAGCTGTTGTCATGTAAATTTAATCACAAGGTAGAAAAGATTAGTCTCTGCTTGGAATAATACTCAGAATGCCTTGCATCTATGTCACTTTTAATTTTTCCATGTACTTGTCTATCTTTTAAGCCACCCAAAAAATTCAGATGAAAGATACAATTAGCTGACATGATGTTTTAGCTTCTAAAAGGGGATAGGAAAGAGTTTCCATAACTTTTTATAGATTAGAGAAGACAGCCATTGACTTCCTCTAGATAGGCAGAGGAATTAAAAAAAATATAGACAATGGGACAGATTCAAAGACAAGTGGAGGGATGACAGGGTTTTTCATACACTCATGCAATTTTAGAACTGCAAGAGACCTTAGAAATCACTTAGTCCTCTACAGTTGTAGGGCACCCCATTGCTCTTCATGTATATATTTAGATACTGTTTGCTACTCGACTGCTAGGTTTACTTCTTTCCAAGCTATTGAATCATGTTTGCTAATTAAAAATCTCAACCTCAAGTGAATATAATCAGACAGATTTTTCATTGTGTAGGACCCTTTAGAGAAGAGGTTCTTAACCTGGGGTCCATGAACTTTTAGAAAAAAAAATGATTATCATATTTCAATATAATTGGTTTCCTTTATAATCCTGTGTAATCTATCCCTTATTTTATGCATTTAAAAGCTTCATTCTGAGAGGGGGTCCCAGAGTGTCAAAGGGGTCCTTGGGACAAACACAACAAGCCTAAGAATGTCTGCTTTGGAGTATCATCAAAGCTATTAGAAGTGGGTTTTGTACTTGCTTTCCTCTCTCTCCCCATGCAGCCTTCCTGTTATCCCTTCATTCTTTTTTTTTTTCCTACCATGTGCCTTTCTTCATAGCTAAACCATCTGCTGGAGATGAAACACAGAGACTCTGGGGAGTAGAAATAACTGCTGAGATCCGCCCTGCCACTGATACAGGGGTTCTGCTGGCCCTGGTTAGCGAAGAAAAAACTGTCCCTCTCTCCTTGGCCTTAGTGGACTACCATTCCACAAAAAAACTCAAAAAACAGGTAAGTGCAACTAATAATGGAAAGTCTTTCAAAGCTTTTTGTTAGCTTGTCCAAGCAAGAAACCTTCATTAGGAAGACCTAAGTTCAAATCCAGCCTCAGACACTTACTAGCTGTGTGACCCTGGGTGAGTCATTTAACCTCGGTTTGTCTCAGTTTCTTCATTTGTAAAATGAGGATAATAAAGCACCTACCCTCCAGGGTTGTTATGAGAATAAAATGAGATCATATTTGTAAAGCACTTTGTAAAACTTAAAGTGTTACGTAAATGATAGTTTATTATTGTTGTAATTATTATTCTTAGTCTTTCTCCACATGTGCAAAGTTATTTATGTTTCCTATGTTTGCATATTCAGAAACTTAGTTTAACTAGGTTTAAAAATTTATCTTAATTTTTGATCCTAGAAAAATTTTCGTATGAAAGCTTAGAAAAGTCTCATTTGGCTTTGGAGGCACCTAAGTACATGGTTAAGGCAGCTAGATGGAGCAGTGGATGGAGTCAGGAAGACCTGAGTTCAAATGAACCCTCAGACACTTACTAGCTGTGTGACCCTGGGCAAGTCACTAAATTTTGTTTGCCTAAGAAGCAGCTAGGTGGTTCAGTGAATAGAGCACTGGGCCTGGACTCAGGAAGACCTAAATTCAAATGTGGCCTCAGATACTTACTAGCTATGTGACCATGGGCAAGTCACTTAACCTCTTTTTGCCTTAGTCGACTGGAGAAGGAAACGACAAACCACTCTAGGATCTTTGCCGAGAAAATCTCATGGACAGTATTGGCATGCTTTGGTAAACAGAGTCTTGAAGAGTCAGACATGACTGAATGACTGAACAAGTACATATTTAGCATGGGATCATTCCTTTGGGTTAAAGGATTTCTCATGGTTACAATGGAAGAGCATTGGGTTTCAAATCAGAGAACCTGTATTCAAATCCTGGGTTCTGCCACTTACTACCTCATTGGAGGCACCTAGGTGGTGTACTGTCTAGAGTGCGGGGCTAGAGTCAGGAAGACCTGAGCTCAAATGTGACCTCAGATACTTAATAGCTGTGGGCCCTGGGTAATTCAGCTAACCACTATTTGCCTGAGCTTCCTTATCTACACAGTGAAGATAGTAACAGTACCTACCTCCCAGGGTTAGAAGAATAATTAGTTAAAACTGGGAGCTACCAATTAGAGCATATTTCCCTCACCCGGTGGTACATCCAGCAGCAAATTCAAGATGCCCCCAAATCTCTTCAACTCCATTCAATGAATGAATTTATAAATAAAAGAATTTATTTCAGAAAATTAACTTGAAGATGTCATTCATATAATTGCACCGGGTGTGTTTTGTGATGCTTGTCATGGGTAACAGAGGATAGCTCCCTGTGGCTCTGGTGCACACCACCATCCATCAGCTGCCAAGTCTTACCTATTCTACCTTTTCAACAGCTCTTGGATCTATCCCATTCTCTCTACTCATGCCACAAGTTCAAGCGCTCATCACCTCTCTCTTGGTCTATTGTAATAGCCTCCTGATTGGCTTCCCTGCATCTCTTTCCTCTCCATCCTATGTTCTACATAGCTGCCAAAATGATAGTTCTAAATCACCGGTCTGATTATATCCAACCATAAACTTTAGTGGTTCCTCATTCGTTTTAGTGTAAAATATAAACTCTTTAAAAATTTTTATTTAAAGTTCTTCATAATATGGCTTCAGCCTAGAGTGCAGGGCTACAGTCAGGAAGACCTGAGCTCAAATGTGACCTCAGATACTTAATAGCTGTGGGCCCTGGGTAATTCAGTTAACCACTATTCCCAGCTAATTACACACTAGTATCTATCCCATGGGCAGCTAGCTGGTGCAATGGATAGAGTGCTGGGCTTGGAATCAGGAAGAACTGCATTCAGATCCAGCCTTAGACACTTACTAGCTGCATGACCCTGTTTGCCTCAGTTTCTTCATCTGTAAAATGAGCTGGAGAAAGAAATGGCAAACCATTCGAGTGTCTTTGCCAAGAAAATCTCAAACAGGATCACAAAGAGTCAGACCCCTCCCACACTCTCCACTCCAACCGGAATGATATACTTGCTGATACCTTAACCCAACATTCCATTTCTTCTACCTTTCTACCTTTATCTAGACTGTTCCCCCATGCCTAAAATGTTTTTTTTTCTTGCTTCTGCCTTTTGAAACCCCTGACTCTCTTCAAGGCTCACTCATCTCAAAGCACTACCTCTTACATGAAGCTTTCCCAATGCCCCCAGTTGTTCCCTCCTTACCCCAACATACACACATCACCATGGATTTATTTTGTATATAGTATATATTTTTGTTATCATTTAGCCATTTTCAGTCATTTTTGACTCTTCGTGACTTTATTTGGGATTTTCTTGGCAAAGATACTGGAGTAGCTTGCCATTTCCTTCTCCAGCTCATTTTACAGATGAGAAACTGAGGTAAACAGGGTTAAGTGACTTACCCAGGGTCACACAGCTAGTAAGTGTCTGAGGCCGGATTTAAACTTAGGTCCTCTTGACTCCAGGCCAGGTGCTCTATCCACTGCACCACCAGCTGCTCAAAGCCTGTATTTCCTTATCAGTAAACATGCTATATCACTCTAGAAGAATGTAATCTCCTTGAAGACAGGAACTGACTCACATTTGTTTTTGTATACCCAGCACCTAGAAAGGTGCTTGGAACACAGTAGGTGCTTATTAATGATTCCTTGTTGGTTGACTTACTGAATGATAGGTAAACATTTATGCCTCTGACTGGTCCCTCTTTGTTTATTCGGGTTTATCTCTTCTCTCCTTTAGTTGGTTGTTCTGGCGATAGAACATGTGTCCGTGACCTTCATGGAAATCAAAGTCTGCGATGGTCAGGATCACTTGGTGGAAGTCCGCATAAAGGAAGGTGAGATAGCCCTGACCGTGGATGGAACAAAGGGACAGATGGAAGTGAGCTCTTCCCAAATGGAAGAAAGACTGTCTGCCTTGAAAAAATACCTGCAGAGTCCTTTAAAGACATATGCTGGTGGATTGCCAGGTAATGTTGTGATTCTGCTATTACAGAGCCCTACCCCTTCCTGCCCAAATACCAGCAGTAGTGGGAGGATGAGAGCAATGTAGCTGCCCTCATCTGCCTTGACCCTCATAAAACTGTTTACAGCGAAGTGATGCTTGGAGGAAGATTTGGTTTTCTCATGGTAGCTATGAAAATGAGGCTTTGGACTTTTCTTTTTAAGTAGGGAAAGGGAAAGCTAGATTATAGACTTTCTCTAGTCAAGTGGGGAAATCACTTCTGCAACCAAAGATTGTGGTCAGCATTGCTTTTTCAGAGGTGATTTCACCAGCCTGAGAGAATCCGTAGTGTGGAAACTCCCCCCTATCCAGGAATGTGCTGAAGCCAACCTCAAATGTGGTCTAGACTTCACAGCTGAATGTCAAATGTTCAGGGTGGGCATTTATACCTCGGATATAGTCAAATGCTCTAAATCAGGACCTGACTTATTATTTTGTTGATCATCTAGACTTAAGATTGAATGAATAATGCAGGTTAAACTTAAAATTTTGTTACGTATGCTTTTTTTTTCCCAAAGAGATGATAGCTAAACATTTATTGGAACACCCCTGCCCCCGATCAATGCAAAATGGCAATTCATCCACAACTTGGAGTCTTAGAGGACTCAGTGGGGCCTAGTGACTTGTCTACTAGTATATGTCTTGAACTTAGGCTTTCCTGACTCCAAAGTCAGCTCTCTGACCAGTATGCCATGTGGCTTCTGTCAGGCTTTCTTATTGTCCATAAAATTTGAGATGTCTTTGTTTAATCCTAATTATAGATGTTGATTGTGCAATTGGCTTGAGTTGAGTTAATGTTCTTCCACCTTCTTTAAGAGAATTCTGCAAGTAACATTTTGTACCCATAACATGCTAGGGAGTATTGAATCTAAGGAAGTACCATGCCAGGCTGAGAATCAGAATTTCCAGTTTAATTATTTTTAAATATTGTTGCCCACAGGCATGTGATCAGAGTAACCTCATGGTAGCTGCAAAGCCAAAGCCAGGTGTTTATGAGTCTCAGTTATCTACCAGAGTCAATCCCAATTTTGGTGGCTGTAATAATAAGCTAAAAGCTAAAGCTTTCTAGCTTGAATCATGTCACTCCTCTCCTCAAGAATCTTCAGTGAATCTGCAAGAATCTTTTTACCTACCAAATAAAAGTAGAATTTGCTTCCTGGCTTCCTCAAACTCATGGTACACTCTTTTTCCACACTAATTCCATATTATCACCCTTCCCTGTACTCTATATTCCAGCCAAACTACACAACTCTGACCCTCAAATATATGCTATATTCTCTTTCTTCTATATCTTTGATTAGATTCTTCCCTGTATCTGGCATTCTTCCTTATATCTAGAATTCCTTTCTTTTCCTCTTTTTACTTGTTGAATCCTTACTTATCCTTTAAAACTCAACTAAGATGGATTTTAAAAGGAAAAGCCTTTCCATAGTAAACATGGTAATGAACTTCCCCATCAGACATCATAGAGAAATTAGTTTGGTAGTTTTATGATGTGGTTATCACATAATGTTGTATACTTTTCCAAACTGTGTTAGTGTTTTATCCCCTTATAAGTCTGTACTTCCTAGGAAGGGACAGAAGATCAAATGAGATAATATATGTATTGTGTAATATACAATATATAATATGTGTACTATAAGGGTAATCCACAGGATCAGAGAAAAGCAAAGGGTAAAGAATAGGCAAGATGATTTGGCTGATGAGTGTTCCTACAGAATAAACACAGGGAGAAGAAAGCTGACCACTGTATGGGGCCCGCTATCAAAGGGATGATTTTCTGAAGCTGAGGGACACATTCATTACAGATGGCATGTCATGCTAAAGATGTTTTGTTTTTCCTTCCTCTTTGACCCAGATGTTCCTGTGATGTCAGCTCCAGTCACTGCGTTCTACCATGGCTGCATGACCCTGATGGTCAACCAGAAAACATTGGATTTAGATGAGGCCATGTATAAACACGGTGACATCACATCACATTCTTGTCCTCCAACTGAGCAAGCTGGTCAGTAGGCTCCTCGGGAACAGTCTACACACTTTATAACCAAAAACTTTTCATGCTTTACTTTTACAAAAAAAAAATTATAAATTATTCAGTCTCCCTATGCTGTATAGTTTCTTTAAAAAACACTGAAGTTCAGTAGGAGCTAGTGATCCTTACAATCGATCATTGAAATCTTCCTTTGCCCTGTGGCCAAACCTTTGTAATATATTTGTAAATAGCTGAGAAGACTAATATTAATGATCTGAAACCACACACAAAAACTTCAAAAGCTTTTCGTAAAATGAATGTTGAGTCTTGAGGGAACAGAGAGGCCTGGAAACATATCAACATGGACTTGAAGAAAATAATAGTTCTCTATTATTTTTATTACCATATACTTCTTTCTGATTTATGAAATATGAAAGAATAAATATTTACAGAAAACTTTTTAACTCCATGTGTGAAGTTGGCTTTTCTTCTGCATGATTGAGCCAGGTGGAATTATCAGATGTGAAAAGGAAGCTGTCAGTAACAGAGCCAGCTGATGTGTGTGTGTGTGTGCGCACATGTGTCTGTGCATGTTCATGCAAGTGAGTATGTGTATACAGGGGAATTCTCTCTTATTGCTTCATTTCTTCCCAGAACTTCCAGGGCACTAAATTCATCCCCTTCTTTTAGACTTTGTTTCACCAGATATATTACAAGATGCTTCTTTGACAAACGTTGAATGTGGGTAGTCCAGTAGAAAGAACTCTGACCTAATTCAGGAAACTCAAAGTTGGTATCCCTTCCTCCATAAACTTTGAGCTTTGTGACCCTAAGAGGGCCATACCTCAGTAAGTAAGAGGTTTTCTATCACTGGAGGTCCTCACATAAAGACTGACTGTCAGAGAAAGACAAAGTGGTACAGTGGAATGAGCATCAGACTTAGAGGACCTGGGTTCAAATCATAGTTTTACCCTTTACTGCTTTGTGACCTTGGAAAAGTCAACAGGAATCTCAGCTTCTTCCTCCAAAAAATGAGATAAGCTAGATGACTCTAAGGTTCCTCCCAGATCTGGACTATATGCCCTCTGAGGACCCTCTCAACCCTAAGATTCTATGAAAGTCACATCAAGTCTGTGCCTCATTCTTTTTCTATAAAAAGAAGAAAACTTTATTTCTCCATCTGCCTTCAAAGGCTGTTGAGAGGATCAAATGAGATATATGTAATAAAGTAAGTACAAAGACCTTGAAAGTACAAATGCTATTTATGCTGGTTTATTAGAAGTGGATTGCGAGTCATAAACCTGGTTTCTAATCTGGTTCTGCCATTGGAGAGCAATATTTAATTTTTTTTTTTAATTTTAACAAGCATTTATTAAGCTGTATGTGCCAGATAAGGGCATCTAGGTGGTGCAGAAGATAGAGCATGGGGCCAGGAGTCAAGAAGACCCATGTTCAAATCTGGCCTCAGATTATTAGTGGGACCCTGGGCAAGTCATTTTACACTGTTTGCCTCAGTTTCTTCTTTTGTAAAATGAGCTGAAGAAGGAAATGGCAAACCACTGTAGTATCTTTGCCTAGAAAACTCCAAATAGGGTCACACAGAATCAGAAACCACTAAAAAATGACTGAACAACAACATGCACCAGGCACAGTGCTAAGCACTTTATGCATGTTATCCCATTTTATCCTCATAATAATCCTAGGAGATAGGTGCTATTGTTAGCCACATTTTTTAGATGAGGAAACTGAGGCAGTCACATATCTAGTTAAATGTCAAAGGGTAGATTTGAACTCAGGTCTTCCTGACTCCAAGTCCAGGTCTCTCTACTGTGCCTCCTAGATGTATGACCTTACTTTCACAGAGCCCCTGTGCATAGGCTATTTCAGAAGCTCTGCGGAACTGTGGAAAGTGTGATAGATTCAGATAAATATGGAAGGTTGGGATTCAAATCCCAGCTCTACTGCTTTCTACCTGTGCAGGCTTGCCTCAGTTCCTCACCTGCAAAAAGACTGAACTATATGGTTTTTGAGGTCCCTTCCCAGCGCCTCTAAATCTGTGATCCTTCTATGGGCCTCAGTATCCTTAACTATAAAGAAGCAGTTGGATTCAATTGTATCTAAGACTCCTTCTAGCTCTATGATTCCTCCTTCCAAATTCTCAGCTTGTAAAGAGAATAAGCAGTTATACCATTAATTGCAATTCATCCTTCAATCTCTTCTAAACAAATGGTGATCAGAATTTTACTGTCCTTGTCTAATGTGCCCTAATGGTTAGATTGCTAGGCTTAGAGACACATGGATTCCAATCCCATCTCCAAAACTTACCCTAAGTGGCTTAACTTTATGTACCTCAGGCAAATCCCTATGACTTATCTATTCAATCAGAAACTAATTGTAATTTAAATTGGTGGAGGGGGTACCCACACTGGGAGTATTCTATCCACTGAAATCACAAATCCTCTCTATATTTTTATTGTTGTTTGTCCTTCATTCTCAAAGAGAACCAATAACATCACAGAGTGATGTCTTGACTTGCATGTGAAGTGGATTTAAGTGAGACATTGTTGCACCAAGTCTTCAGCCTCACTCTCTCCTCCAGAGTCATTGAAATCCAGTGGCAAGACAAATTCAAGATGACAGGCAAGGGCCCTGGGATGCCTTGGCCTTTCTAAATTAAATTAGCATACACTCTGAGGAGGTATTAATAAGTAATAAAATGAACTAAACATGGATAGCAGTAAGTAAGAAGAGAAACAGAAACCCATAAAAACTCAATCAGACCTCTTGCAAGACACTTATCTCCTCTGGGCCTCAGTTTCCTTATATGTAAAATGAGCATTTAGCACTAGTTGACTTCAAAAGGAAGAAGCGCCTAGAGACAGCTAAGTGGCACATTGGGTAAATGTGCTGGACCTGAAGTCAAGAAGACCCAAATTCAAATCTGGCCTCATAGCCTTACTAGCTACATGACCCTAGACAAGTAACTTAACCTCTGTTTGCCTCAATTTCCTCAAACTGTAAAATGGGGGCTATTACAATAACACCTACCTCCCAGGGTTGTTGTGAGTCTCAAATGAGATAATATTTGCAAGACCCTTGCTACAGTTCCTAGTACATAGTAAGAGCTTAATAAATGTTCCTTCCCTCCCTCCTTTCTTCCCTCTCTCCTTCTTTCCTTCTTTCCTTCCTTCCTTCCTTCTTTCCCTCGTTCCTTCCTTCCTTCCTTCCATCCTTCCTTCCTTTCAAGGTCCCTCTCATCCTAATCCTAATCTATCAATTCTCCAAACTCATAGCCTCTATATGATCAATTTGGATAGCTTAAAAAAAAAAAGAAAAGAGAATATATTAAAAAACTGAAGAACAAGAAAGGTCCCTATTGGTAATCTAAAATAGTTATTTCCATATACTAGGTGATCCTTCTGAGAAGCAGGAGAAAAGGAACAAGACCATAGGGGGCACCAATATCTTGGGAGCCAATACCACATGATCCATCATGTGGCTAACAGTATTTCATACCTATCTAATGCTCTAAGGTTTTCAAAACATTTTGTACATATTATTTCATTTGGTCCTCATCAGAACTCCATTAGACAGCTACTATTATTATCTTGAGGAAACTGAGGCTGAGAGGTTAAGTAATTTACTCATGGTCACATGACAAGTGAAGTGTCCAAGAAAGGGCTTGATCCTGGGGACTATTCATTAGGCCAAGCTGTCTCTTAAAACACAAAACTTTTCTTATAAAGTTTCCTGTTTAGATTTCAAAATAGGACAGAATTCTTCCATCTATCCCGACTGTCTTCCAGCATGAAAATTTGGAGTGGATTGGGCTTGATCATAATAAAGGTCTTGAGTCTTCTGCCAATATCTCCTCTTGGGCTCTGGATACTCAGCATTATTCTGCTGGCTCCAGTTGACCTTAATTCATAGTTGTGCTCCTCAAGGCATGTCTTAAATCACACATCCATAAAATCTGAGTGTTTTGCCTCCACCCAGAGAGCTCATCCTCTGCATGATGGGGCATGCTCATTTTATGATATTTTGCTTTTGTTGTTGCTTTTTCCCCCCTTTCCTAAGTTCCTGGCAGTATCTTGCTGACTCAGGACCTCAGAAAACTCTACTAGGAGCTTCAGGTAATTTTCCATGTTGATATTGAGTAAAACTAGATGGTCAATCCTCATTCTGTAATTATCTCTGTTAGGACCAATGCACCAATGAATTCTATGGCTATTTGTGTTCCATATTTTAAGAAATAATTTCCACATCTTCAGTGACTGTCAAAGAGGAGAACAAAAGATCATAGGTTCATGGAATGAAAACTGGAAAGGACCTAGAGGCCATCCAATCCAAACACCTCATTTTAAGGATGAGGAAACTAAAACCCTGGGATGTTAAGTGACTTGCCCAGGGTCACACGGGTAATTCAGTGTCAAAGGTAGGAGTCAAACTTAGGTCCCTCTGACTCTGCCTTATCACAAATTCATCCAATTTCCTTCATTTCTGGATGTCTCCACCAAACTAATTGTCATCTACTCCCCGCCCCCCACACACACTTTTTATGCTGGTTCTAACCTGGCCACTCTCCCTAATATCCCTTCTGAAGACTCGGCTTATTGGAGACAGTGAAACTAGGTTCTGAAAAGTAAAAAAGTGAGTCTAATTAGGCGGAAAATCACACTGAAGTCTTATAGGTTCCAGTAAAATTAGGGTTAAAACTGCCCACGAATCAACTACAACGACTGATATTTTTATAGTTCTATTGAAGTTTTCAAAGTCAGTGACATACATCAACTCACTTGATCCTGTCATCGGACCCAAAGAGAGAGAGAGAGAAGGAGGAAAACAAGCATTTATTAAGTACATGCAGTATTTTTATCTTATTTGATCCTCACAACAACCCTTGAGGTAGGTGCTGTTATCCCTGTTTTATAGTTGAGGAAACTGAGACAAACAGAAGTTAAATGATTCACCCAGGGTCACACAGCTAGTGAGTATGAAGTTGTATTTGAACTCAGGTCTTTCTGACTCCAGGCCTGGTGCTCTATCTACTCTGGCACTTAGCTGCATCTAAGCAGGTACTACATGTATTATTATCTCCATTTTACAGATGAGAAAACTGAGGCTATGAGTTCAATATCTTGCCCATCCTCAACTGGTGTCACAGGCAGTATTCAAACTTACTTCTAATTATTGTTATGACAGATACCCTTATAGCTAAAGTTTATACGATGCACTAGAATGACAAAGAATTTAAAAAAATAAAGAAATGACCATTTTTTGGAGGGCCTGTGGAATAACAGGTACACTAATGCACTGCCGGTAGAGCTGTGAGTTTGTCCAATCATTCTGGAAAGCAAATTGGAACTATGCCCTAAAGTCACTAAACTGCATACCCTTTGATCCAATAATACTACTAGTAAGACTATAACCCAAAGAAATCAAAAAAAGATGAAAAAAGACCATA